AATAATAAAAGAAATCCCGGCAAGGGAACACAATTTAACAATTTAATCCCGGCAAGGGTACAACATCAATAATCTCAACGTCCGGGCAAGGAAAAATAATCAATAAACAACAATATCCCCGCAAGGGAACAACTTAAATACTCTTTCTCTTCCTTTCACTTTTATTTCATATCTCACTTTACCACTTGAGCCAATGCTCCAAAGGGTTAAACCATTTCACATACGTTCACAATTGAAATATAACTTGAGCCAATGCTCTCATTGTTCATAGGTCACAATTTCCCTTCACAAGTTTTTCACAACAAATAGGAATCATCACCAAGGCAAGAGAAATACAACGAAATCAAGATATTCGCAATATAAAGACTCACGGTCATGCTAGACACCAACGTATAGATACTCGTCACCATGCCTATACGTCGTACTCAACAAGAAGCAATTAGCAAATAAGACTCAACTCCTAGTCCCTCAAGCTAGGGTTAGACCAAACACTTACCTCAATGCCTTGCACACAACTTAAGCCTCAAGTATAGCTTTACCCGTGATTCCACCGCCAATTCGCTCATATCTAATCACAAATTACTTAATTACATTAATAAACACTAAATGAATCAACCCCAATGCATGAAAAATGAGTTTTCCCAAGTTTTACCCAAAAAGTCAAAAATCACCCCCGGGCCCACGTGGTCAAAACCCGAGGTTCGAACCAAAACCCGAGTACCCATTCCCCCACGATCTCAAATATATAATTTGTTTTGAAATCGGACCTCAAATTGAGGTCCAAATCCCCAATTTTTGAAAAACCTAGGTTCTACCCAAAACACCCAATTTCCCCCATGAAAATCTTTGATTTTAGGTTGAAATCATGTTAAAAGATGTAAATGATTGAATGAAATGAGTAAAAACTAACTTACAATTGATTTGGAAGAAGATTTATTCTTGAAAAATCGCCCAAAGGAGTTGTGTTTTGAAAATGGTGTGAAAAATGACTTAAAATCGGTTAAGTATAGAAAATTGCAGGTCTCTGATATGGGAAATGCGAACAGGGGTTCGCAATTGCGAACCCCAACACTCAGATGTGGGAATTGCGAAGTGAAGCTCGCATTTGCGAACACTGAACAAAATGGGGGGCTTCGCATTTGCGACCAAAAACGTCGCATTTGCGACAAACCCAGTTCCGCATTTGCGAACCATTTGGTCGCATTTGCGATCCCTGGCCATCATGGGCACCCTCGCATTTGCGAAGTATAGTATCGCATTTGCGATGGAGGGTCAGTTCTGGGCTACCTCGCATTTGCGAGAAAACCTTCGTATTTGCGAGCTCGCATTTGAAAGCCTGCAGGTCAGTTATACCAGCAACTTTTCAACGTCCAAAAATGCATCCGTGGCCTATCCAAAACTCACCCGAGCCCTCGGGGCTCCAAACCAAATATACACACAACCTCAAAAACATCCTACGGACTTATTCGTGCGATCAAATCGCCAAAAAAACATCATAAACATCGAATTAAACCTCAAAATCCAAAATTTCTTTCAAACTTCATAAAACCTCAAATTTTCCAATTTAGGTCCGAATCACGTCAAACGACGTCCGTTTTTAACCAAATTTCACAGAAATGACTTAAAGCACATATAAGACCTGTACCGGGCGCCGGAACCAAAATACGGGCCCGATACCAACACGTTCTAATCAAATATCATTTCAATTTTCCTTAACAATTTTAGAAAAACAATTTCTTTCTAAAATTCATTTCTCGGGCTTGGAACCTCGAAATCCGATTCCGGGCATACGCCCGAGTCCCATATTTTCCTACGGACCCTTCGTGACCGTCAAATCACAGGTCCAGGTCCGTTTACCCAAAAATGTTGACCAAAGTCAAATTTATTCCTTTTAACATCAAAATTTAGCATTTTTCATAGAATTTCACATTTAAGCTTTTCCAGCTACGCGCTCGAACTGCGCATGCAAATCGAGGCGACTCTAAATGAGGTTTTTCAAGGCCTCGGAAGCACAGAATTTATTTAAAACAGGTGATGACCCTTTGGGTCTTCACACATACGCTTGCTAGGTTTGTCAAACCGTGTCTTAAAATTTATAAGTTGTTTCTTTTAATTTCTTTGGATATTGTCATCATCTCAATTTTCTTTTCCAGGGTGATAAAATCAATCTGGATATCCAGAGAGTTGCAGAGAGTTGCGGTTTATCGTCAGTGGTGTGATAAGTTGTGGAATGCCATTAGGGTTTCCATTAGTAATCTGAGAGAATCTTACTTCCTTCCAGTATGAGTCTAAATTTGCCTTTAAGAGATTTAACATGAAGTGGGTTTACAAAAAGTAATATGGCCGAGGTCGAGACCTAAATAGTAGGGCTCATAGCCGAGCAGCCGGTAGTGGTCGAGGTCAAGCATCAAGAGTAGCAGCAACGGCTAGTTTTGCAATAGGATTTTAGAAGAATATTTCATTGAATATTCTCTGTACTTGTACTTTTAGGGTTGATTGGGGGTATGTCCCATATAAATAGAAAGAGAGATAAGGTGAAAGGTAATATTCTCTGATAAAAACATTCTATAAAAAGCAGACTTTCTCTCTAAAAAGAATACAAACATTACCTTTCTAAAGAGATTCGATTGTCTATTATTTTACACCTTTCCATGAGATCCGAGAAGGATCCCTATATTTTAGTATTTGTATCCCATCCATCATTGTCAGGAGGAGGAATCATCCACCCCATTCAATATTGGGTTAACTATTCTTCTTAGTTACTTCCATGCCATTTATTTCTATTTATTCTTGACATTCTCTCTTCATTGATGATCTTGAAACATTAAATACATGCTGCATTTAATCTGTTCTCAACGCTAAACTACGTCACTCGTATTAACGGATCATAGATCTGAAGTCATTATCATTAACTAGGTTTAATCTTTCATTATAAAAATTTAATTAGTTTAATCAAAGATCTACACTTTTTGGTCAAACAATTTGGCGCTGTCTGTAGGGATTTCCTAGTTAAAATTTTAGTTTCTTTTAGAACTATAACTAGCACACAAAAAACAACAACAAAAAACACGCAAAACCCCTACTCTCTTGTGCACACAGATCTAACATGGCAGGTAACAGAGAAGAAAGGATGAAGGCAGGGGCCAATCTCACCACCAACCTCTTAAACACCATCAACGAGGTCTCAGAAACGGAGGGTGAAGATGTAACGCCAAACGCCTCTCCCAGGTGAAGTGGCTCACCCCCCCTCATGATAGTATCACAACATCCCACGGTAAAGGGGCTTCCACGTCCACCGCAGATGAAGCGCCACCTGAAGTGAAGAAATTGTTTGAGGCTTGGCTAACGAATATGCTGACCAACATCCTCGATACGCCCACCCAAAAAGCAACCGGAGAAAATGCGAGGACTCGCGTTGTACCAATAACGGCCGAGCAGCACGGCCCTCCCCCTCCAATAACATGTATCACTCACAATGTTAGTAATGCAGGTGACGACACCCTAACAGCCATTCTGAGGAAGATGGAAGAAATACAAAACGAGAACAAAATGCTGCGAGACCAAATAAAGGAGCATCAAGAAAGGGTAGATAAAATACCGGGTGCCCCAAAACTCTTACCAATAAGAGATGCGGGTCGGTTCGTGAACAACCCTACGATGATGAAGCCGCCCGCATGCCATACCCAAAACCTTCAAAATGCCACCCTACCTAAAAATATACGACGGTACAACCGACCCCGAGGATCATGTGACCCACTACGTCACCGCGGTAAAGGGCGACGATCTCGCCAATGAACAAGTATCCTCCATCCTGTTGAACAAGTTTGGCGAAACCCTCACTGGGAGCGCATTAACTTGGTATTCACAGCTGCCCCCGCGCTCCATTATATTCGAAGAGATGGCCGACAAGTTTGTAACGGCCCATGCTGGAGCTAAAAAAGCGGAGGAAAGAGTGAACGATATATTTGCTATCAAACAATCACCTGGAGAGGGACTGAGGGACTTCCTCACTCGATTCAACCATGTGAGGATGACCTTACCAAATGTATCAAAAGGCATGGCTGTAGCAGCTTTCCAAAACGGGCTGAACAGAAACGGTTCGAGGGCAACCATAAAGTTGCTAAGTCGGCTTATGAAATATCCCCCAACCACTTAGGATGAAATACACAATGCCTATTGTGCCGAAGTCTGTGCTGACGAAGACGACCTAAATGGACCGACCCAACGGTTAACCTCGGTACAGGCCGAGTCTAGGAAAGACCGAAGAAACGATGCTAGAAGAGATCTAGCAGCTCCATGACCCAACCGAGAAAGGCATCAACCATATATCAGGGGTGCCATTATGCCCCCCTCCCGTCATGAAGAAGGTCCATCTAAGCCAAGGACAGGGACTCACAGGAGCGAGAGAGGTATGCCCCTTTTACTATTTGCTTACAATTTTTGTGTCTCACCTTCAGAAATAGTCTACGCGTTGGAGAAGCTCGGCCTAAAAGTGAAGTGGCCACAAAAGATGATGTCCGACCCAAGCACCAGAAAGTCAAACGCCCTCTAAGAATTCCACCAGGAGCGAGGCCATAAAACCGAGGACTGCATCGCTCTAAGGCAGGAGGTCGTGGAGATGCTTCACCAAGGGCACTTGAATAAGTTGTTGAGTGATCGAGGAAGGGTCAACTTTGCCCGAGGACATGAACAACACCAGGGGCTGCCAAAACCACCTTCACCAATGCGTACCATCCAAATGATCATCGGAGGCGGCGATGATGCGGCGATCAATATCGTAAAGTTCAGCACGACCCACAAACTCAAATGGTCGATCACTCATGAATGATATGGCGAACTCGAAGAAAGTATCATCTTCGATAAGTCGGATATCCACGGTTTGGCTTCCCCTTACTATGATGCCCTTGTTATCACTTTACGATTATTAAATACAGATGTAAGAAGCATCATGGTGGACGATGGGAGAGGCACGCATTATCCACCCTCGAGTACTTGCATAGATGAAACTCGAGGATAAGGTAGTGCCACGCTGCATCACGCTAACTGGTTTTAACAATGCAATTGAACGAACATCTATAGAAATCACACTCTCCGTCCTGGCCGGCAGCGTCACTCTGGAGACCACGTTTCACATCATGGATCAGGATACGACATACAACGCCATAATAGGACGACCATGGATACACTCCATGAGGACCATCCCTTCCAGCCTATACCAAATTATCAAATTTCCACCCCCGTGGGGAATATTCATCATACAAGAGGAACAACGCACATCACGAGAATGCTGCTGCATTGCCTTAGATTGTACGACTACCCAACAAATGAAGGGCAAAGCAAAAGAGGCATATCAATTAACAGGGTCGAGGTCGAGCTGTGGTGAAAAGGAAGACGTCATCAAAGAACCCGAAACGGTGGAAGCTGTGGAATCAACCATAGAAGACCTCGACCAAGTCCAACTTGACGACAACGACCACAACAAGAGAGCGTACGTCAGCTGCAAGCTTCAGGAAGCAGGTAAATTCTGTCAATTCCTAACCGCTAATGCAAACTTGTTCCCCTTTTCCATACAGATATGCCAGGTATCCCGAAAGAGATTTCCACGCATAAATTGAACATCGACTCGCTCCACCCCCCGGTGAGACAGGTTAGGCGGAAGTTCAATTCTGCAATAAACGATGCAGTCCGAGAGGAGGTTGAAAACTTATTACAGAACGGTTCCATCAGGGAATCAAAATACCCTTAATGGGTGGCCAATGTGGTCATGAAGAAGAAGAAGAACGGAAAATGGTGAATGTGCACAGACTTTACAGATTTAAACAAAGCATGCCCCAAAGATTCATTCCCGCTACCCCATATCGACCAGCTCATTGACGCAATGGCCGGGCATGAACTGCTGAGCTTCTTAGATGCTTACTCGGGTTACAATAAAATCCTCATGGAAAAAGAAGACCAAGAGAAGACTACCTTCATCACCCACCAAGGAACGTACTATTACAGAGTTATGCCTTTCGGACTAAAAAATGCGGGGGCGACATAACAACGGTTGGTCACCAAAATGTTCAAAGATCAACTCGGCAAGACCATGGAGGTATACATAGATGATATATTGGTCAAGTCTAAAAGGAAAGAAGATCATATCGACCACCTGAAAGAAGCCTTCGATATACTTAGGCGATACAGAATGAAACTGAATCCTGAAAAGTGCGCATACGGCGTGACCTCAGGGAAATTCCTAGGCTTCCTAGTATCACAACAAGGCATCGAGGTCAACTCCGAACCAAATCAAAGCTATAGAGGGGATACCGGAGCACTTAACCAACAAAAAACAGGTTCAGAGACTGACCGGCCGTATAGCCGCCCTGTCGAGATTCATCTCGCGGTCATCAGATAGATGCCATAAGTTTTTTGGCATACTCAAGAAAGACAACGGCCTCCAATGGACCTCCGTGTGCGTCGAATCCCTGAAGGAGTTAAAGGCTTACCTATCATCATCGCCACTGCTTTCCAAAGCGGAGCCCGGAGAACGCCTCCTTGTCTACCTAGGCGTATATGAAGTGGCTATGAGTGCAGTCCTGGTCCGAGAAAATAAAGGTACGCAATCTCCCATCTATTACAATTGAAAAACCTTAGACCCTATTTCTAGTTCCACCTCATCTCGGTAGTCAATACTTTTACCTTGAGAAGTATTTTGCATAAGCCTGAGCTGTCGGGCAGATTGACCAAATAGGCCATGAATTCGACTCATGGACTCACGTTCTAAACCTTTCGGAGTGACGTAAGGTCGGTATCCTCTGTACACGTTATTAGGACTAACTCTTCACCATGAACCTTATAAGAATCAGGAAGTACTAATAACATTGATATCATAAGAATAAGAGATGCAATATCAACATCAATCATTCAATAAGAGGGGAAACCGTAAGTACTGCTAGCTTCTAAGAGTAGAGTATCTTTGGAAGCTCGTTCATTGCATTATGTACAATCGGAGTCGTGCAAAAGAAGGAAAAGGGATAGCCTCACATACCTTGTATTTACTGCCCCATCTCAAGCTATGCAATTTTCACGACTCCTTAGTCTACAATAAGAGAAATGATACTATAGTTATCATTCAAGCGTCATAACTATTATGTATCGACCACAACCTATTTTAAGATGAAACGGACAACACCTCCCCTATATAGAAGACTTCATAAAATTCCAAACAATCACCAAACAGCTCAAACAATATCAATAATAATCATATTGAGCCTCCCAAAATAGTCCACGCACAACCTAATTACTTCATACATACGACGGCCACCGTAGTCGTGTCAAACGACCCGGAAATGTTACGAAGAACTACCAGCCCACAACCCTACATCTATATGGTGTTTCTCCACACCCTTCCTCCTCCAAAACTCCACAAAACAGTATTAAAACACGCATCCCAACAGCAACACAAAACAGTCCACAAAACAGTCCGCTACAAGTGAATAACTCGAACTCACGGCTTCCGATCACCGTCCCATGAGTTATTACATGTATAGAACGAATTACCATGAATTCACAGCAGAAAAAATGTATGAAAGAGAGCAGTAAACTCACCTTACTTGTTGGATAACTCAGCCCTTCCCTTGGTTCTTCAAACTCTAGGTTTTACCCCCAATTAAAACTTGAAAGAGAGGGAAAATCGATTAGGGTTTGTGGATAATTTTTGGGATGAATTTTGCAGGGGTTTAGGTCTGATTATTTGTGATATATAATGAGGGTTATATTGCAGGAGATAACCCTTTAAATGGGCTCTTTGGCCGACCCAAAATTTCCTATTTTTGGGCTATCACTTAACCAAGTAGGTGACACACCTACTTGTCACCTAGCAGCTTGTGCAGTCTTGCAAAAATACCTATATCTCTCTACTCCAATGTCGTATCGATGAACGGTTTAATGCGTTAGAAACTACACTCATAGATCTTTAATTTAGTGGGTAGATCATCCCGTAATTCCTTGTAAATTGGGAGAAAAGCTTAGTAACATTTGACTTAATATTTAAGTAAAATTAGGAACCTAAGTTGCGACAACTTTTGTCGACCTTTGTTTCATAACTCGTTTGACTTCAAGACTTATGATAAGGATATTATATGATTCAAATACCTTAAAATACGACCTCTTGAGTTCATTAAGAACCTCTAGGTTTACCCAAAAATACGGCTGACAACATCCTTGATTCGTTTAACTTCTAATACTTGTTAACCACCCTTATACACCTTTGTATCATTTAAGACCAATAGGATTAACTTCTTATCATCTTAAAGATAATATCTTCATGGATTTACGTCGACTACCTTATGGCATGAACTGACGTACATGAATATGGTTGTAACAGAAAAGCATGGGAAAACCAGAACATTTACACTGAAAGAGTGAATCAAACATGGCACAATCAAGAACATTACGCTTACCTAACACTAAGGATTCCAACTTATCAGGTTTACTAGAACAAAGATTAGCATAAAACATCCTTACTAGGGGTTCATAGACCTTAGGCGGAGGAATAGAGAGGAACTTAGACCACCCTTGATGAAAAAAAAGATTTTTTTACCTTACAATTTAGGGCTTCCATGTCGTCAAGGTCGACTACCCTTCCATGAGCAATGGGCTTGTATTTCAAAGCGATGAAAAGATCCCTGTTTGGAGAATTCCAGAGATTTAGGTCAGATTCTAGAGAGCCAGAAAGATCTATTTTGGATTTCTTTGGGGTAGAGGAAACATCGGGGGTCTTCCATAGGTCGTTTTCCTAGAGCTTTTTCTCCTAAGATTTGAGAATGATCAGACAAATCGACTTGCGAAGAAGCAAAACCCTCAGAATGGTCGGACCCAAAGTCTACTTGTTCTGGGGGCATAGAAGGGGGTTTTACTTTGGAGCGGGTACTTTTTCTGGTGGAGGCAGATGGGTTCTTGGAGTGTTTAGCCATTGAAGGATAGTGGTTTCAGCAGAGCTTCGGAGAACGGTTTTCTAGATGATAGAGATGAAAGTGATTGAAAAGAGATCTCCGCCTTAAAAAGAGGGATTCTGAACCTTCTGATGGTTGAGTACAGAAAAGGAAAAGGCGTCAGTTGAATAGTCGTGATGATTGGCTTTCCATCTTTGAACGACGCAACTGATGTGAAAGAAGAAGAAAAGAGAGGAGAAACGGAGGCGTAATTAATGCAAAAGTAAGAGACAATTATTAGCCCTACAAAAGTAACCGGACTACATATAGGTCCTACAAATTATTATTAATGCAAGTAACGCCAAGTAATTTTCTCAAAGCACAAAACATATCCTCTAATAAAGGCTTAGTAAAAATATCTGCTAATTGATCAGTTGTTCCAACAAACGATATTTCTATGTCTCCCTTAAGAACATGATCTCTAATAAAATGATGCTTGATGTCTATATGCTTTGCTCTAGAATGATGCACACGATTTTTTGAAAGACATATAGCACTAGAATTATCACAGAAGATTTGAATAGGCTTAAAAACAATTCATAGTCACCAAGTTGATGAGACATCCACAATAGCAATGTATTCAGCTTCAGTCGTGGATAGTGCAACTGATCCTTGTTTTTTACTGTTCCAGGATATGAAAGCTTTGCCAAGCAATTGGCATGTCCCACTCGTGCTTTTTCTGTCTTCCTTATCACCTGCAAGATCATCATCTGAACCCTTCTAATTTAAAAGTGTTAGAACGATGATACCATAATCCATGGGAGACAGTTCCAATGAGATTCGAATAATTTTTTTTACTGCAGTCAGGTGAGACTCCTTAGGAGCTGACTGAAACCTGGCACATTTACAAACGCTGAACATAATATCTAGTCGACTAGCAGTTAAATAAAGAAGAGAACCAATCATTCCATAATACTTAGTTTCATCAACAGATTTTCCCTGTTCATCTTTGTCGAGACTTGTTGAAGGACTCATTAGTGTGCCAATAGCTTTGGCACTGCTCATGCCGAATTTTGGGATCAGCTCCTTTGTGTATTTAGTCTGACATATGAATGTTCCTTCTTCAGATTGTTGAATTTGAAATCCAAGAAAGAACGTCAGTTCTCCCATCATACTCATTTCAAACTCACTTTGCATAAGATTTGAAAATTCCTTGCACATAAGAGGATTAGTACTACCAAATATAATATTATCAACATAAATCTGAATAATGAGATTACCTTCTGATGATCTTGTAATAAACAGAGTAGTATCTACTTTACCTCTTGTAAACCCATGATCAATAAGAAAAGTGCTTAATCTTTCGTACCATGCTCGTGGAGCTTGCTTCAGCCCGTACAGTGCTTTAGTTAGCTTATACACATGATAAGGAAACTCTGAGTCTACAAACCAAGGGGGTTGTTTCACGTATACTTCCTCTTCAATAAAACCATTTAAGAAGGCACTTTTAACATCCATCTGAAATAACTTGAATCCTTTAAATGATGCACATGCCAACAGAATGCGTATAGATTCCAGTCGAGCTACTGGGGCAAAGGTTCCGTCATAGTCGACTCCTTCTTGTTGTGAATATCCTTGAGCAACTAATCTGGCTTTGTTTCTTACGACTTTTCCATCCTCATTGAGCTTATTTCTGAAGACCCACTTTGTCCCTATCACAGGAACGTTTTCAGGTTTGGGTATCAGTTTCCATACTTGATTTTTGTCGAATTGATCTAACTCATCTTGCATCGCTTGCATTCAACTTGAGTCTTTAAGAGCTTCCTCTATTTTC